GTTTCATAGTGAGTAATGAGGCACAAGTGCTAAATACTAGAGACTTTTATTCAGTTGATGTTAAATAAGCTATATTTCATCCTATAGAGCTATTGTATGAAACCCAACAACTTGGAATAGTCAACCTAACATTATCAATATATTCAGGCCAAGTCGAGTTAAGAAAATAGAGGACAAGATCAAAATAACTAGAATTGGGCTAAGTGAAACAATCGAGATGGATGGAATGTCAAATTATTTCTTAGAACCAATTTGCTTGAATTGGCCTTGAAGTACTTAATTAATCGTTTATAAAATTCTTTATAAATAGTTGTACTCTCCATATTCATAAACCTAATTCTTTAATCCCTAGTTCGCCATTAATCCAAATGCAATGTGAGAGTGCTTTTGGTTTGTTAGTCATGAGTTTGTAGTCATGTTTTCTCCTTGATGAGTTTGATTGAAGGACATTTTGGTAGATTGGAGGGAATATTTTGGAAAATGACAAACAAGAATGTAAAAAAATTAATGCCAATTAAGAATTATAATTTTTGAAATTATACCAAATGACCAAAGGACATTAAACCAATAAGGAAAATATCATTTTTTCCATTTAGTAACATATCAGAGAGTTTTGTTGTAGGTAATGAAAGGCACACGAGATAAAAAGAGTTTTATTGTAAACAGCGAAAGTGTAATTTATTCTATTAATGTTAAATAAGCTATATGTCATAATAGAGCTATTTTTTGGAACCCGCCAATTTAGAATAGTCAACTTAACATTATCAATGTATTTAGGCTAAGTTGAGTTAAGAATTTTTTTTTCTTTGATAAACATGAGTTAAGAAAATTGAGGACAAGGTCAAAATAAATAGAATTGGGCTAAGTGAAACAATTGACATGGACCAAATGTCAAATTATCTTTTAGAATCAATTTGCTTGACTTGGCCCATAAGCACTTAATTAATCATGTATAAATTCCTTATAAATAGGTGTACACTCTCCATGTCTATAAACCTATTTCCCGAATCCCTAGTTTGTCATTTCGGTGCTTACCCTACTCCTTCGAGATCTGCTAGACTTTGCCGATCTCCTCGTTGATCTCCTTTTCTTGTTATGCTATCTGGGTTTTCACTCTCTATTCGTCATTACAGTGTATTGAATACTTGGCTTCAACTCTCCTATTTGTTCTCAGTTTCCTACTTGATAGGTGAGTATTTTTCAAATTTCTCTTGTCTTGATTGATTAGCGAAATAAAATTAGGGATCATATAATTCATATTATTTTTTTGTTTTTAGTTAAGTTACTTAAAGAATATAAGTTCTATAATGTTATTTTGATGATAAGTTGAAATTTGAGATTATGCTTTGAGACACCTATTGCATGCAAATTGCAAAGTTGTTGCTTCTAAATTCTAGTAAGAGTGTATTTGCTTCCTTCATAATCATCCACATAAACATCAAGATTCTCAAGGTACCTATATTTTCCACAACACTTCCCAAATTTATGGTGACTACTCATATTCACTTTCTTCTTAAAGTAGTTGAAAATCTACTCCAGTAAAATATTTTCATGGTATACTATGCATCCATATTAAACTATCCATTTTCTTGAAAAAAAACAAAAAACAAAAAACAAAAAAGTTGGCAAGAATTTCTCCCTTTGCTTGCCAAAAAATAGAGCTTACCCACAAGGCCACAACTTTAAAATTCCAACCAAAGTGGTCATGCTCACTGAGGTTTGCAACAATGATTACATCAGTTAGTCTGAGCTGACAACTTTATATGGTGGCCAATGGGAATTGTTTGTCCTGATCGAACTTGCTACTTCAGGTGATTTGTGATAATATTTGGCCATTTTAAGGAAAAGTTTCCACAAACCCAAGATGTACTTGTAAGTATTCTTAATCCGCCATCTGGTATCTTGGAATTAATAGTAGGGAAGTGGAGGTAGAATCCATAAAGCATGTTTGATGCATTTGAATCACACACTTCCACTTCCATGAAAAATTGATGCAGGTGAGTTCCATCATCCCAATGATGAAACTCGCAATTTTGATGGAAGCAATACCTTAACACTCTAGTTATTTTTGATAACATGATGCAAGCAAATGACAACGCTTGTCTCCTCCTCTAACAATGGCAATAGTCTCCCTATTCATTCATAAGTTAGATAGGAGTTGATCATAAATGTTTCCCCTTAACATTGCATCAATTTTTAAAAATCATGTTACATGATTGTAAATTAGGGTGTCCATAGCCTTTTTCAGGAATATTTTCAAGGTAAAAACATACTTTAACCCTTGAAACAACTTTGACAGAGGACCATGAGATCTCATCATAAGCTTTTACGAATTCCACTGTAAAAGCTTAAAATGTTTCCGTCATTCTATGTTGTAAATGAATTTTACACATGGCCTACTTTGGGTTAATAATAAGCATGCATGTTGTTTATAGTGTGTATTCCTTTCCAAAGAATGGACTCTGATTACCTAAATCGCAATAATCAAGGATTGTCTATGATCCTATTATTTTTACATGCATTATTGTATAGATTAATCTAACCTTTAGTTAACTTGTTACTTGAATTAAAAATTAAACTTAAAATATTTAATTAATTGTGCTTCTCAAGTCAAGTCTTTTGGGTCATTTGCCTGATCCAGTTATGAATTATACCCTAACTATAGCATGCAGTGAATAAAAAGTTAAAAACAGAACAATCTTGTCAATGTTGTTTGGTTAAATAGAGAAAGATTTGATTCATACTCTTGAAAAGCATGTATTTAAATTTTGTTATTGAGGAGAAAATCAATTTAGTTGGTCAATAGTATTTATTTTTGTAACTGTCTTTTGAGTTGTAAGACTAACTTGAATTTAATAAATCTTAAAACTTAACTCAATCTTTTATAAAAGAAGCACAACCATTTCCATCAAGGCTAATTACATTTTTGGGATTTGTTTCTTATACTATTGTTAATGAATGGTTTAACCACTGGGATAGTACTTCTTAAAAACTTATACTATCTATAAAAAAAAAAAATAGCTTTTCTAGTTGTGGGAGAAAAAGTTATAAGCTCATCTTTTGGTAAGGGTCTTTTAATGAAGTAAACAACTAGAATTTATTTATCAATCAGGAATTCTAATTTTTATTCCTCCTTGCTCACTCCAACCAACGGACCTCTAAATGACTTTTTTTACATGTAAAATTGAATAAACTAATATTGTAATGAAGCTGCTTTTTTAATGAAAAAAATTTAGTTCATCAAGGCCTATGGATGAATAGTCCTAAATGAGTACATTACATATCTAGTGGCAATAATCCAGTATTTTGTAAAGCATCTCATACTATCCACCCTACGAGTATATAAATTTTAACCTTATGAATTATTTTATTTTCATAAAATCCTGAAATTTTTTTCCATAACATGTCAATCATCAATATAATATATCAAATTAGAATAAATTCTTCTGTAGATTCATTATTTAATAAATATGACCTATTTATATTCCATTTGAATTATTTTAATTTTATTCTTATTATTTTTTATTTATATTAATGATATATTTTCATCTTTTTGATAAAAATATATATTTTCACTCTATTCCACACTTTCTTTGTAACAAATCAAAATATTTAAATCATTCCATTTTGATTTTTCCATTCCGCAATTTGAAATAGTTTTTTTCCCTGAATCTGAAGTACTTTTCTAATATCTAAATTTTTGTTTAATTAAGAAAAGTTCGGAAATTTAGCTTGTCAAATGAATTTATTTAAATTTTAATAAGTAATTATGAATTTTAAAATAGTGAAGATTATAATCAAGGAGAATTTATTAGGATTAAAATATATTTTGTCACGCCTATTTAAATATTAAAATCTATACAGAATGTTAAAAATATGTAAGCAAAAAAGTTTTCATATACAATGGAAAATTTAATCACTGGTTTCAAAATACGTTTTAATGAACCAGCAAAAGATAGAAGTTCTGATTTTCAATTAAATTTATGAAATATTTTAACATATCCATCCTAATTAGTTAGCATAAAAATACTATGACATCAAATCGGAGAATTTGTTTCAACCAATTCAAAATTACAAGTGCATACTTTTTTTTGGGTGACAATATGCATTTACTAATAAGATAATCCCAGTCAGAAAATCGATTAGAGACCACAAAAATAACATGCCACATTATTCTCTACTATAGTATAATGTCATTCTATCGAATTAATTATGAAAAATATTTTTTTTCATACTTTATTTCACATTAGAAATAAAAATTGTTGAATATAGAATTCAAGATCATAGCAAGATTTCATAATTAGTCAAGGGGTGGAACGATTTTAATGGGATTCAATTTATTTAGTTGAATTAGCTTTTTTTATCTATCCACTAAAAAATCCTATAAATGTGCCTAATTTGTTCGACAGATATGCATCTAACCCCTCGCTGTGAAGATCAGGTAATTAACTTTTCTTTATCATATAAAAAATCAATTACATTTATACTTGGTTAACAATAAGCGTTAGAGATTAACAACCCTTTGCTACAAAATAGAAACATAATGGAAATTAATTATTAATAGTTAAACTAAAATGGGAACTAGTGAAACTTCACCAAATATTAAATCAATTTATGAGCAATGCAATGAAATACCCAGAACAGCTTGTTTGCAATTTTCACCTATACAATCAATGCCACAAAAACTGCAAAATTTTTATAGCATAAGATTCAGTGAAGTTTCTGGGGTTATTTTGTTTTTAAACTAATCATTCATATTATATATATATATGTATATATATATATAACATGGGACTGTAATTTTAGTACAGTTTAAAGTTGTCCGGTATGGCAAGAGAATAAAGGGGGAAAAATAAAAAGCAACGGAAGAAGAGAAGAGAGAGAGAGAGAGAGTGCCCATTTCATACTCAAAGAGTGATCCTTAAAAAAAAAAAAGTACTTTTAAATATTAATTAAATAGTTATAAGCATCCTATCTGGTAGGTTTCTTTCCTTCTTCCCTCCCCCATCCTCTCTCCTACCTTTCACTCTTGCTCTCTCTCTCTCTAAAAGACTGACTCTGTTTATTCCGTCATTGACTATGCCCTGTGAGATGACTCACTTTGGATCGGTGAGCTTAGCTGCAAGGGATTTTATTCTCTAATCCCATTTTTTCTACTAGTTATGTTGGAAAACTTAATTGGTAGAAAATAGACAGAACCCGGAAAGTGTTTGATATCATCATTCATGTCAAAGATTCTCAAGATTGTAGCAAAAATCCTGTGTATTTAATACAGGGTTTTGATCAGCCAATTTAGTAACATTCCTAATCACTCTTGATTTCTCCTCTGGTTTTGGGTGCTGGGCAACATTCCCACCTCAAGAAAATATCAAAGCCGTTCACTTCCCAGCATTTAAATCTTGAATTTATTGAATTGGTCATGACTGAGAGGGATTTTCTTCTTTCTCTTCAATTTGCTGCAATGGTGAGAAATGTGTTGAGGGCTTTTTGGCAGGTTTTGGATTACACAATGGGATAGAACAAAGAAGCAGGTGCATGCGTTGGAATTTCTGCAACCTGTTGCAGAATCTGGCAAGAGATTTTGGATTTGAGTCAAAGTGCTTTAGAATCTGTAACATTTTGCAGCTATTTCACATTCCATTGACAATATAAGCTCGGGAATTTCTTCATTCTCAAACAATTGAAGACATAGCAACAAAAAGTAGGTGAGATCTTCTATTGCGTTCCCTTCTGTTAAGATATTCTATCTACTATTGGTGGTTGGTTCTTCAAAGCATACTTGTAGCTTGATATGCTTAATGTTGAATATTTATCTTATCCTTGCTTAGTTCGGAGTTCAAGTATTAAACTTGTTCGCAGTAGGATATTGTACATGTCTAAAGCAAATGTTAGAAAGTAGACTTGACATGTTTATATGTTTATATATATATATATATATTAATTGTCTATATATTGTATCTCCAAAATATTTCATTGATTATTGACATTGTCTGGGTACTCTGTACTTGGCATTGTAACACCCATAACAGGCCGCCTTACCTAGCCTGAAGGAGTAGAAACTATAAGCTCTAAGCTACATTGGCTATTTCATATGCTCAATAAGGAAAATTTATCTGTGCTGTTATGTTATAATTTGCTATTGATAATGTCAATCACTGCTGAATCACAATTGTTGGAATAATTATATTTATATGTAATTTAAGATAATACCACAGCTCAGGATGATAGGATTCCACATAGCTTAGAAATCTGAGCGGTATTTTTAGGTTAACTGTATTATAGGGCCAATCTCCTATTGAAGTTCTATAATTATCATCTTCTTTTTGCCAACTAGTAGCAAGTTATATAATTATAATCAGTTGCTTATGAATCACATGTATTAGATGTAATATGGAATCAACAGAACTGGTGTGGCACAATAAAATTGTACCCCTATTTTGCAGCAAGGATTCCTTGAAAAACCTATCTATCAGTACAATGAGCTCTATGGTCTATAGTTGTTTCTTAACTTTTACCTTTTAATTTTAACATGGTATCAAACTTTACCTACATCAAGAACAAGTGAAAGAAACATTGATTGTCATATTGTCTGTAATTTCCAGCATCCCAATGATGAACTTGGGAGAAAAAATTTTTACTCTGGAAGAAGAACAAGTTCAGATGAATGGTTCTTGGGTACCTGTCACTCCTGAGAAGCCAGTTCAAATAAGATCTGAGACAATAACAGCTGGCTGGCAGGAAAACCAAATGGTAGGAGGGAATTTGAAAAAGTTAACTATTCCTGGGAGTGGCTACATGAAAGAGATGCTGCAGTATAATGGGTTAGATCAGAATGTCCATCTGGTGGGACAGACTGAAGAGTACAATTATTTTGATGGAGGTTCTTCCAGAGCCGGTATCATCAATCACAGTGATGTGGACTTTGACAGCAATATATTGAATACTTTGGAGCTTCTCTTCATGAAGGATGCAAGTAACATTGCCCATGATGACAGAAATTTAAGTGAGAGTATAAGCATGGCTGTAAGAACACCAGTGCTACCAAAATTTCATCCTCACACAATCAGTAATGGGAGAGATTTCAATGCAGATGGTTTCACTGTCAAAGAAAACAATAATTCAGCTACAGTGTACACAGATGCAAATCTTTTGGTTCCAAATAGGAATTCTGAATGTGACAGCAGCGGCTTATATGATTTTCTCAACCATGACATTCACTGCTCATTCTCAAGCCTGTTGAATAGTAGCCTATCTGAGTCAGAGATACCCAACGGTAACTTCATGTCTTTTTTTCCTTGCAATTTTACAACAACAACAAGCCTTATCCCACTAGGTGAGGTCGGCTATATGGATTATACAATGTCATTATACTCTATCATTTACCAAATTTTTTGAAATGTTGTTAATTAAGAGGTCTTGGTCAACAATTTCCATAAGTATTCCCTTTGGCCTTCCATAAGTGTTTTCTTGCAATTTTTCTTTTCAATAAAAAAAATTATTGACGGAAGAGAGATCCTTTTAGCTATTGAAGACATTGCTTTTCATGTCGTGTCTATTCTTAACACTTTTTTAAGCAAGATGCCCCCCAACCCTGGAGCAAGGAGCATTCGATTATGAAGTAAATATCTGGGGGATTTTCCATAACAATATGATTTTCAACTGCACAAATCTGTACTCATCATTATATCAGTTAATTCAATGCCAATCCCATCTCTACTTTAGTTACTGTGGTTGGAATGTCTGGTGAAATTTTCAATTGATGTTCATGGAAAAAGCACGTTCATGTTTTAAAAGCTGATAAAAACTTTCTATTTAAATAATAAAAAAAAAGCCTTGAAATTCTAAACACCTGAGGAATGTAATTGATATTTCATTTTCCCAATTTTTTCTGTAGATTGTAATCATGTGAGACTTATATCCCTCCACTAAATTCAACAATAAACTACAATGAAAAACTGTCATGAAGATTTCAATGTTAAAAAAAAAAAAAAAAATCTCTCCATTTATTCTTACTGCACAGACATTGCCTTGCTGAGCCCATTAAAATTTTTGGAACTGATTGATGAATGACTAAGACTGCTTTCACAGGTGGTTTTTACGTACCTTGCATACCCAGTTTCGATCAAAACTCTGCATCTGTCACAGAAGCTGATGATGTCTTTAGTTTAACCAACTCCTTCCAATCAGCACCAGAAACAATGGATCAGTTCAATCAGTTTACAGAAAGTCAGTTTGTGAAGCATGTAACAGCTGAAAGCCAAATTCAGGTGACAGACAGACCAGACAACTTGGTTGCATCCACAGAAAACGATCACCGTGAATATTGTGATGGACTTCTACAGCATATAGTAGATACATCTGCAGCAGCTTCTAAATCACCCAACAAAATTGAGGGTTCTGAAAATGATTTTCGTAGTGGGAGTGGCCTGGATATTGATCTAAATAAGACACCTGAGCAGAAACCACCTAAACGAAGAAAGCATAGGCCAAAGGTAATTGCAGAAGGCAAGCCCAAAAGAACTCCAAATCCTGCAACTAGAAAGAAGAGAGAATATATGGAGAATCCACCCCAAAAGAGGAAGTATGTACGAAAGAATGTGCCAAAAGAAGCAACGTCACAAGCTGATGTTATAGAGAATTTGGGTTGTGGGACTGCAACTAGGCCCCAAAAGAGGAAGTATGTACGAAAGAATGTGCCAAAAGGAGCAACACCGCGGGCTGATGTTATGGAGAATTTAGGTTCTGGGACTGCAGCTAGAAAATCTTGCAGGAAAGCTCTAGATTTTGATTTAGAAGAGAGTAGATGCAAAGAACAGAACAACATAGTTGGTCGGCAGGAGATCCAAGGCAGAAATGGGTTGCTCACCGAGTTTCTCAGTGCAGCAAGGGTATGTTATGATACAAACTCAACTTTGCTTGTCAGCAACCAGGATGGTTTTATGATAGAAAACCAGCAACCCAGAAGCACAGATGATGGTGCTTTTTTATTGCATCAGAGGCTAAGTGACAGATGCTTGCCAAAAGAACAAGCTAATGTACCCTTGCCAGCAAATACAGAAATGGAGATTAAAAATTTGTTAGAGACTGAGAAAGGTCCAGCTCAAGGCAATGCTGGATTTTGCAAAGAAAGAAACAATGGATGCTTGGAGCAATGCATTCACGCAGATGGAATTGACAATGTTCTCTTGCAATCAGAGATATGTCTAGAGATCCATCAAAGCACCAAAGTACCAATGTCCCAAAATGACCTCCAGTTGGTGCCAAACATTTTGTCCAATTGCATTGAAGGAAGCAGTTTGAAGAGAAAATATTGCCATGCTGATGAGAAGCAATATGTCTCTGCAACAAATCCACTTGATTCTTCCTTATTGCACCAGGAGATTTTCCAGGTGGATGAAAATTGTAACGGCACACCTCTGGATAAAAATGTATTGAAAGCTCAGAAAGGGGGGAAAACTCAAAACAAACCTTGTTCACAAAAAATAAGAAGAAAAGGAAAAAATAAATCTCAAACACAGTTGACTGATGAGACACCAAGCAGCTATGCTGGTGATGGCCTTACTAGCTCAGGTAATGTGAATTTCCTTAAGCAATCGATTCTTCAGGAGGACTCTTGGCATGCAAATAATGGTTTATTTTCCATTTTTTTTTTTTGCAGATGCACTACACAATATATATCCCACAGCAATTGATGAGATCATTTGTCGACTCCAAGATCTCAACTTTGGGGACAGCAATATATCAAGAGTCGATGGACAAAGTGCAATTGTCCTATATAAGGGAGAAGGTTCAGTTGTCCCATATGAGGGGTTTGACTTCGGAAGAAAACGTAAACCACGGCCCAAAGTGGATCTTGACCCAGAAACAGAGAGAACCTGGAAACTATTAATGGACAAGGGAGTAAGTGAAGGCCTTGAAGGAAATGACAAGGAAAAGGAGAAGTGGTGGGAAGAGCAAAGAGAAGTTTTTCATGGAAGAGTTGATTCCTTCATTGCACGAATGCATCTTGTTCAAGGTACATCACATCACACTTTGATCCCAAACATAAAATATTTTAAAAAATAATTCACAATTTGTTGACTTTGCCTCCTAAACAGCCATCTTTTGCTTTCCATTCTGTTCAAGAATCCTATTTTTTTGCTAATAGCAATTTTCAAGTACTATAAACTCAAAAAGCACAATCTGTTAATTAAAGGCTCATGAATAGTTTAAGTATAATCCCTAACAAGTTTGAGATTAAACTTGTCATTAAAACACCTTTAAGTACATTAAATAAATTATAATGAAAGCTTATCTTTACCTGAAAAGAAGAAAGCAAAAATGTAAAGCATAAGGCTACAAAAAGAGAAGAACATGGTGCAAACATGATCCCATGAATGTGAACCCATAGAATGGAAAGGGGAACTAATACTAAGAAATGAACATATGTGGATATGTGGATAGCATGCTATATGCTTTATTCCTGGAGTGTCAAAAACAGCAATTCCCTTATGGAAGAATTTGTTTTTAGTCATTGAGGAACAATTGATCTGCCCTAACTCTTGGAGCGATTTCTTTTAATACACATAACATTCTCACAGTAATAAGGTTTGGCATATTTGGTTGGAGAGCAATGCTTAGATATTCATGGGCTTCTTTGTTGAAAACGTATACAGTGTAAAATTCTCAATAAAAGTTTTTCAATAACGGATATTGGCACTCAAATGAGATTAAGATCAAAAGAAGAAGCCAACATTCTATTACTATTTTTCATTTGGTCATTAATTTGTTTGCGTTTAAGAATATATTCATCTATGATACACTTTTGCAGGAGATAGGCGCTTTTCTCAGTGGAAGGGATCAGTAGTGGATTCAGTGATAGGAGTCTTCCTTACTCAGAATGTTTCAGACCATCTTTCAAGGTAAATTAAAAATCTAAGACTCACCCCAAAATTGTCCATGGTAGCAAAGGATGAGATGAAATTGAACAAAAAGCATATTCTTCCTTTTGCTTTTTTTTTTTCCAGCTCAGCCTTCATGTGTCTAGCAGCAAGGTTTCCTCTCCTGTCAGAAAGTGACACAGACAAGAGATCATGCTGTATTGTTGGCATAGACAAATTGGTTGAAAAACCAGAAGTCTGCATGGTAAATCGAGATGACATCATGATATCATCCAACAAAAGATTAAGTCACCCAACCTACCATCAAGGCTTTGTGCCTCCCCATGATACAAGTGAGCGCTGGAGAGACTGTGAGACCGCAAGGACAAAAGTAAGTCTCAACAGTCCATATACTCAGAGCTCAAAGGATGAAATCATATCGTCACAAGATTCTCTTGATCATTCAATTGCTGAAGCCACCAGAGGGATAAGATCCTCCTCAGGTTCCAATTCAGAAGCAGAAGGCCATACAACAGGGTGTGAACCCTGGAAGACTCAACTTTTAAATTCAACAAATTCTGTACATGTACGAAAGGCCACACTATTCCAAGAATTTTACAGTAGTGTAAATGGAGTGTCACTGTTTGATGAGAGAACCAAAGATGGACAGGCTCTACATGAAAAGTATCCCAGACAAAACTCAAGGTCGGGTGAAATTGATGATCTTATTTCACATTCACCATTTAATCATCTGATCAAATTTGGAAATTCACAAAAGCGAGTGCCTGAAGGTTATTCAGCAGACTATGAGTTACATGACTTAGAGGCACTTGGGATGATGAAAACTTCTCAAATGAATGGTACGGAGTCTTCTGGGAGAGAAACTATTTCCCTCATAAACAAGTTACAAGATACTGGCTATAGGACTGTCAGCATCCAGGCTGTAGGAGGAAGTGTAGATAAATTGACTGAGAAGCAATATAGGCCAATTAAGTCACAGGAGTTACCAGCAATTAACCCATATGAACCATTGAGTGTTCATGTTGTCCAACCACAAGATAACTCTCCGTTAGGATCTGATACATATCATCATCAACCTTTATCTGGATATCATCTTGCAGGTAAGAAAATTTTAAAACCCAATTGCTTGCCATTTATAGAATCAGCAAGTACTACTCAGAAATTGAGTACTGGGCAGTATCATTCAGTAAAGAATTCTCCTAACATTTGTAATTACATGGAAGGTTTTCATGCTGATAAAAGAATATCTGAGGTTAATGGACAAGCCTACTCGAATGATAGCAGTGCTGAACTGAAGCCACAGGAGCAACTTTGCCCTTCTGGTACCATGAATATAGGGAGCAAACAGAAAGTTTCAAAATCCAGAAAAATAAAGGTTCAGACTGGGAAGCTGAACAAAGTTGATTGGGATGATTTAAGAAAGAAAGCACAGGTCAATGGGACAAAAAAAGAAAGGAGCAAAGAAACAATGGATTCGCTGGACTACGAGGCACTGAGACGTGCCTCAGTGAAAGAAATCTCTGCAACTATCAGAGAACGAGGAATGAACAATATGCTAGCCGAAAGAATCAAGGTATGCTCATCATAGGAAGTTTATTGAAAGCCATTGTTTTTTCTTCCCTCATGATATTTCTTGAAAAATCACGTATATTGTATTGCAGGAATTTTTGGACAGACTGGTTAGAGAACATGGAAGCATTGATTTGGAATGGTTAAGAGATGTTCCTCCTGATAAAGCAAAGTATGCCAATTCCACAGCCATAATTTCTTCCATCACTAGAGTTTGTCTTGAACACATTTAACTACAACAGGAACTGACAAAAAATACGGGCAGCATATAGTACACATTAATCATGTCCTTTCTATTTGATTTGCATAAAAATCTTCAACTGCAGAGATTACTTGCTAAGCATACGTGGATTGGGGCTGAAGAGTGTGGAGTGTGTCCGGCTCCTAACACTTCATCATCTTGCTTTCCCAGTAAGATTTACTTGAAACCTATTTACCACTTCCCAGCTAATGCAAATCATTATGAAGTTTTGTAACCGATTTGGTTACTATGACACATCTCTGTAGGTTGACACAAATGTTGGAAGGATAGCAGTTAGACTTGGTTGGGTCCCTCTTCAACCACTCCCTGAATCACTTCAGTTACACCTCCTTGAATTGTAAGAATATTTTTCTAATCATTAAGCATATGTATTTCCCAAATGAAAATCGCTAATTACTTTGCTTACAGGTATCCAGTGTTGGAATCAATTCAGAAGTATCTCTGGCCCAGATTGTGCAAACTTGATCAGAGAACCTTGTAATAACATCACTCCCCTCAAAATCAGCGTTTAGCACTATTCATTCATGAGTCACGTGTTGCAGGCATTACTGCTCTAATAGCATAACTAAATCTGTAACTAACGCATACATTACATAATGTAGGTATGAGCTTCACTACCAGATGATTACCTTCGGAAAGGTAAGATTAACATTTATTTTCAAAGTAGTACTGCATTCAGAAGAGAAAGGCGGAATCAATGATGCAATAACTGTGTTTCATGGGCAGAGAAGGAGAACTTTAAATTAACTCATGCTCCAAATACGCAGGTTTTCTGTACAAAGAGTAAACCGAATTGCAATGCATGTCCTTTGCGTGCAGAGTGCAGACACTTTGCAAGTGCTTTTGCAAGGTTAACCACTTAAAATATATAGTTTCATTATATAATGCCTCCATTTAGTGATTTTTTTTTCTAAGCTGAAACTAACCATTTGTTACAGTGCCCGGCTTGCATTACCTGGACCAGAAGAGAAAGGAATGGTGAGTAATCCTGTTCCCATTGCAACTGAGAGAAATCCTACTCTCAACATGAATCCAGCGGTACTACCACTCCCTGAAATCAATTTGCTTAGAGAAGCAACTTCTGAAATTTGTAAGTATGAGCCGATCATTGAAGAACCAGAAACACCAGAACAAGAGTGCCCAGACACACAGGCATTGGAAAGTGACATTGAGGATTCATTCTGGGATGATCCTGATGAAATTCCAATGATCAAGCTCAATACTGAAGAGTTTGCAATGAATATACAAAACATATTGCAAGAAAACATGGAGCTTGTAGAAGGTGACTTGTCTAAGGCACTTGTTGCTTTTAATCCAGCTACGGCTTCCATTCCTACACCAAAGCTGAAGAATGTGAGTCGGCTACGGACAGAACACCATGTGTAAGTATAGCTTAGCTTAGTTTTATTTATAAGAGAAAAAGTAATGCCAAAAAGGAAAAGTTTAAAATATATGTTAAAAACATCATTGCATGGAAATGGTCCAACTTAAAAAAAATGCTGTTTGCACCTATGCCACACCTGAATCACCCATAGGAAATGTTAGGGGTCAGCTTTAATTAGTAACTTTCCTTTTGACCTTGTAAAAAGACATCTAACATATCCATTCTTCCATTTTTAATGACCTAGCAAAAGCCCAAAAGCTATTTCTATGAAGAGTGTCATAAATCATAATACATATACAGGTTGAAATTGCAAAACTGTAGCTCTCGTCACAAGGATATCAAGCATAAGCATTCATTATCTGAATATTTGACTGAATATTTTGTTTCAATGAAACTACAAATGATTGTTTTACAACTTGGTTGATGCAGATATGAGCTTCCAGATTCTCATCCTCTCTTGGAAAAGGTCAGTTAGCTTTGCACTGCAAAATTGAGTAGTAAGCTTCATCTCGGACTCAGTTTTATATTGGCTTGCTTACTAAAATTTACAGATGGAGAAGCGTGAACCTGATGACCCAAGCCCATATCTTCTTGCAATTTGGACACCAGGTAAGCAAAAGACGTGTAAAATAATGCCTATTAGTGAGCAGAAAATGTTCTCCAAGACTTCTCCTTTCGTTTGTATGTAACCAGACAATCTGTAACAGTGTCAAAAAGTTAACTTCCTTTATTTAAATTTAAAACCTTAAAATGATGAACTTCATGTTCATAAGTGAAAAAAGTCGAGATTTGTCATGTGAGATCGTAGAAATATTACCAATGCGCAAAAATAGTAAAGAAAGCCAGAGAGGAATATATAAGTGAACCAGGTTGGATTGTATTATACTATTCCTGCAGTACGTTAAGGACATATAACTTTGAATAATCGAAATCCACTTATAAGCACTTCTGCAACACTGAACATTAGGTGAAACTGCAAATTCGATTGAGCAACCAGAGAGAAGATGTAAATCCCAGGATTCAAGCAGCCTATGCAATGACAATACATGCTTCTCATGCAATAGCATTAGAGAAGCTAATTCACAAACAGTCAGAGGAACTCTACTGGTAAGGCTAACTTGTGATGATAGGATAAAGAAATAATCTTTTTCTTGACTTTATTTCCTTAGCTGATAGTTAAATTAATCCATGTACAGATTCCTTGTAGAACAGCAACAAGAGGGAGCTTTCCATTGAATGGCACTTACTTCCAAGTTAATGAGGCAAGTGTAATCTTGGTTTTGTCACCATTCAATCACCTCAGCAGAAGTCTACTCGCATTTAAATTCATTACTCACGCAAACCGTCCATAAACCTTTTATAAACATGCAGGTATTTGCAGACCATGCAACCAGCATTCAACCCATTGCTGTCCCTAGGGAATGGATATGGAATTTGCCAAGGAGGACTGTATATTTTGGAACATCTGTATCAAGCATTTTCAAAGGTACAAAATTTCTGTGTTTATCTACTAAATCTCTTTTCTTATACAGTAATATCAATCTTTACTCACCAGAAATACTTACGTTTACTAGGTCTTTCAACTCAAGGGATTCAACAGTGCTTTTGGAGAGGTACGCAGATCACCTTCAATTGTCACAGTTATATAATACAGTTGCCACGTTATGCATATTGATGCTAGAAAGATGGAGAATTTCAATTAATGCAAAGCTAAAACTGTTTTCTGATTAATCCATGCAGAAAAAACTAAAAAAATTATAGGTAAGATGAAGCCATCTGATTCACTCATACTTGCTTCTAAGATGCTGGAGTGGGAAATACTTAAATCAACTCAAATCCAAATTTCCCTAACCCAACTTATTACGCATGCGCATTGGAAGTGTGCATGAGTATGCTAAAAAAGTAGCACATCAATGGTCTCTTCAAATTGATACGAATTACACAGATGGTGCTAATTCAAGTTTAAAGAGGCCTGAATTACTTCACATATGATTCTATACGGTATCTTTTAACAAGTTGATGCTGCATTTCAGGATTTGTTTGCGTCAGAGGGTTTGACCAAGAAACACGCTTGCCTCGCCCTCTTATCGCCAGATTGCATTTTCCAGCTAGTAGATTAAATAGAGGGGAAAAAGTGAGAACAGGGAGTAACAAGACATGATGATGGGAAACTTACCAGCAAGTGTTAGTGTCGCGGACTGAGTGATAGAAGATTGTTGGCTAACATACTTTGCCCCTTATATTATTCTTTGGATGAGGCTGACCTGAAAGAAGCCACCAAGTCAGCAAGAAAATAGAAGAAATTCTAATTTAAGATTCAGAACCTCAATGCCGGTGGGATTGAGCTATAAACCATCTCCATTGAAGCCCAAAACAGCAATTCTTTGGAAAATATTGACATTGATATTATACCAAAAGCCATTATAGTTACCTGCATTATCATTAATAAAATGTCTCATTCAAATATCATTAATAAAATGTCTCATTCAAACTTAGGGAAGTTGATTCTTTATCTTAAATACTCTATTACTTCTGTATTCAGTGTACTTGATAGTTCATAGGGACATATGAGTTAAAAGAATCCCACTCAGGGAACATGTCCACCATGAGAGGACTCTAATCATCTCAGATAAATCTTGATCCCTTATGTCAGCAATCACCAAGATTTAATTTTTGGACTGAACTATTTTTGAAGCATGAGCCCTAACTCATTTTTAATATATTGCAAACTGTAAGCAGCTTGACAGACTAACTAAAGCAAATCCCGTGTATTTGTACAGAGTCTAAGATTAGATGTACTATTTATAACTTATGAATAATATGACTTTTCATAAGTTTCATATTAATATTGATACTGATACTTGGTTTTTTTTTTTTTTAAAACTAAGAGATTGTTTTGCATGCAAAATGAAACGAAGTAGAAAGTGTTTCTTTTTAGTTTAGAAAAAGAGTTATGTATTACATTTAGATTAGATTATCTAGTTACTAATAAAAATAAATAAATATAATACTATGAGAATAAATATAACACCATTGAGAATTTTAGTTTATTATAGCAAACTTATTTTATCTAACTTTCGGTTGGTATCTAATATAGATAATACAAACCCCCTAATGGGGTGATAACCCTTCCCATTTTCTTGTTGCTGAGATTGGGAAAAAACATTGATAGCAAACATTAACATTGTCTATCATTATTAAACTAGACTTTTTGATAAACAATATAATTAAATATTTAGTTATTGATAGCAAACATTAACATTGTCTATCATTAATCTCGTCTAATGAAATAAAGTTTATTGTCGCATCACTGGTCCAGTCAATTAGTTAAAAAAAAATTAAAATGAAATCAATACAAACCATTTGTATACAGGGAAATCGATGATAAAAGATAAAAAACACAAAGGCACTCGACCCTAGTTCTCCATCATCATCATAAGTATCCTACCCCAAGTCAGGATTTTATCCTACCCCAAGTCAGGATTTTCCCACTATCCTCGATCAAAACCATATTCATACAGACTTGTTTCATTCAATTTTTCTTGACATCCGAGGACTCTAACGACAAGAAAAAGGAACAATATTTACCAAAAAAAGGGATGAAAAGTTAAAGAGAATAAGTACATTACCTGTGGGGATCAGAGATTGGGAAGAGATTTTGTACAAGGAAGACAGAATAAAAAGCGGGAAAAGAGAAGATTGGAGAGAATGTCACGTTACATTCGGAGCCACGTTGCAATTGGTTTAGATTTTATAAAATTTATAATTGATTCAGGATCATGATTGATTCACTGTTGATGGCAAGTGCAGGCTGGTGCATTAACAATTAACAATTAACAAATTAATTAATCATCCGTGGATGTTGTTATTACTTCTCACAAATATACATATAAATAGTGTACTTAAAATTAAATTAGTCATTGAACCGATTAAAATTATAGTTTAAGAATTAGTGGTCTAATTAAGGGTCAACTCGGAATCAAACTGATCACAATTAAAATAATTTTTTAATTTAATATATAAAATTATTTATATAAAAGACCATAATATTTAAATAAATGTCTTTAATTCTTAAATAAATGAAAAAATTTATCCATTAAATTTTATGCATGTTTTATGAAAATAATAATTATAAAATTCTAACAATAATAAAATACAATAGTATTAAAATTATTAATTAAGAAATTTATATTTAATTTAAGATTCAATATTTAAAAGAAGAAAGGAAAAAATAAAAAAATAAAATAAAATTTGAACTTGGTCCACCCATTAACTCACTGAGTTGGTCAAGTTTGTTTGAATTGAAATCAATTTAATTGGGTTGAAGTTGAGTCATAAGTGACCAATTCACGAGTCAACTTGCCCAAGTTGACTCATTTTACAAACAATGCACATAAGTACAATATACATAGAATGTGATAGACAACATTTGTTATTTTTATTAATAATATATTAATGCTATAGGGCAATGACAATTAAATCTTAAAACTTCAATTTAATCACAATTAGGTCTTCCAAAAAAAAATGTTAACAGACACTTATAAGTTGCAAATTAAAATTAAAATTTTGCAAATATAGGAATGAGTTGCAAATTATGATAATTAAGTGTCATTAATTTCTAATTTACAACTTAAATTTTTTATTTATAATTATTTGAATCGATATTTGTAACTTAAATCTTGGCAAAATTTTGTATGGGTGTAATTATAGTTAAATTTAAATTTTGAGAGTTAACTATTATTTCTTCAATATTATGTATATGCTTCTTTTTTTAAAAAATGTAAGGTATTTTTAAGAGTTCAAATGTTCAAAAATTTAAGGTATTTTTATTATTTAAATGTGTAAGTAAGGTGTTTTTTTTCAAAAGTTTTCTTAATAAATAAATTATTTTATATTTATTTTAAAGTGAAGCATTCAATTAAATAAAAATATATATGAAAAGATGATATTAGTTTGAAAATAAACTATAACTACCTTATTAAAAGTGTGATTCGGTTAAAATATTTTATATTTTTAAGAAGAGGGAGTTTATATTTATTGATATTTATATGGATGCTTATCTTTTCTCTGAGTTATTGATTATCATGATCAACTATTAGTTTCTTTAGTGGAATAAAAATGACGAAAATAATTAAAAGTATATGATAAATAAACTTATCCTACTGAAAATGGGATATGATAGTTGGTCCAAAAAAAGGGGATATAATAAATAAATATATTTTTATATTTATTTCAATTAATAAGTGCATTTTTAAACAGATTGAAAATTTTAAAAGTATAAATTGATTTTTAACTAACTTACTTTCTTGATCTCTATGGATTAATTAAAAGTAGCTTATAAATGGCATGAATGGAGTATTTTTTCATGAAAACATGTTTTATATTTCCGTTTTCATTCACTTCTCCCTGATATACAATTTGGGAAATTTGAAGCAAAAATGCAGTGCAGTAATTAGCTCAGTAATTGAATGAATAGTTATACTTCTCCTGTATCATACTTGTAAGATAAAGTTAATCAACTTTATTGTTGATAAAAAGTGATAGTTAATATTTTTAAATTTGTAAAAAAATTTAAATTTTTAATTTTACCCTTCACTAAAATTAATAATTGCAATAAAGTGTATCTAGAAATTACAACAACAAATTAACTTCTATATCTTTATTTAAGAATAAGCAATATATTGCTGGAAAAAATTAACTACTATATCTTTATTCTATATCTAAGGTGAAATTTTATCAAAAACAAAAAAGTATTTGAGATGAAATATGATTTTAAAATTTTACTCTATAATCAAGAGCAGAATGAGTAAACAACAACGACAACCACAACAACAACAATAATAATGTTATGCTTAATTGTGAATTAACGGCCATTCACGCACGTGAAAGTGAAACCATCAAATTGCTGGTCTTGGTGACGTTCAATGTATAAAGCCCCACGCGAGACACGACCATGCATCAAGGACGCAAGAGGAAAGCAATCGATTGTGCGTTCGCTTTCTTTCTCTCGCGGGACGAACCCCACCATTTGCAGGGCATCCAAGTGAGCCCCACACCCTCAAATAAGAGTCATCTCTCTCCGAAATCCCCAGTTCTCTCCCCAAAATTAAGCAATAATGGCCAACACCGCAACTAGCAATATGAACTCTTGCTGCTCTTGTTAAGGTAATTTGCGCTGTCCTGTCTACCACTTTAATGCTTGGATTCCCAACTATGTGATCTGTTCAAGAAGTGCTACTTAATAGGTGCTTTTTTCCCCCAAGATTCCTGAATCGCTGTCAGTGCGAAATGGAAATGAATGGTACTTTTTCTGATAATCGGTTTCAGAGAACTGCTCCGGTGAGGGAATCATCTTCTTCGGCCGCCATAGTTAGTGGCAATTTGCGACCCATGAATGTGGCTGACGAGTTTGATCGCTGGAAGGGACAGGCATCTTTCAAGAGCTGGGCCAAGCAAACTGAGGAGAGCTACCAGTTGCAGCAGGCTCTGGCGCTTCGTCTTTCATCGCTGGCTGCTTCTGCAGATGATCCCAATTTCCTGGACTTGGAATCCAGCTCTTCCTTCAATTCGGCCGAGGCTGCATCTCATCGATTTTGGGTATGCAACTTTTTCCCCTAAAAAAAATGGGTGTCTTATCTAAACAATTCAAATTTGGAAATTCGATGGGTATCTTCTCGTTTTCTTTCTGATATCATGGAAGAATCTCATGGGTATTCCTTTTTTTTTTATTTGTTTTTTAAAATCATGGTTAAAAGGTTCAATGTTGGGACATGGGGGAGGGAAGGGAGTTGCTATATAATTATCTGCGAATGCTTCGAGCTAATCTTAGTTATTTCAAATAAATGGTCTGTTGTGGAGATAAAATAAGTAACAGAAGGCGATGAACTCATAATTCTTTCTGGATTTCAAAGGAAATTGTCATCTTGATTTGCTTTTGTGTCAATCATGTGGTTTCTATTTGCTATTTTGCTTAGCATTTTACAGTAAGTTTGCTTGAATAATGTCGTGTCCATAGTATAACACCGATTAAACTTTCAACTGTTTGCTTAAACTTTAATGTCTTTTTTATTTTTTTAATTACTTGGACCAAATCAAGTAAGTTCGCTTGAGTAACATAATAGTATGATATACCTCTTAGCTGTGAACACTGAACACCAAGTAAATTTTCAACTGTTTGTTTAAAATTTAAATTTAAATGCCTTTTTCCTTTACTAGACCAGGTAAATGTTGCACATGCACATGACACACACAATTGCTGGTGCACACATTTACTCATGCACACACCTAAACATGTGAGGCTAGTCTTGTTCTAAAAAATGTGATTTAAATTCCTTTTCCTTTTGCATTGATCAGGTCAATGGTTGTTTGCAATACTCAGACAAAATTCCAGATGGATTTTATCTTATCCATGGGATGGATGCATATGCATGGACTATAAGTGCTGATCTGCAGAATGTTGGCCCGATTCCATCATTTGAATCACTGATGTCAGTTGAACCATGTGATGATCTGTCAGTTGTAGTGGTTGCAATTGACAAATCAAGAGATCCTGGTTTGAGAGAATTGCTAAATGGCATCGTTAGTCTTTCTAATAACTGGATTACTACAAAGGATAAAATCGATCATCTTGCAAATCTTGTTTGCAGTAGGTTGGGGTGAGTGCACCCACCTTAATATTGAAACAGTAAAAGCCATTGTTTTAGAAGTCACTATTCTATTGACCTCTTCTTAACAAGCTTTTTTTGTTTTTGAAAGGGGTGAAACCTGGACTGAAGAAACCTTAGCTTCACGCTGGAAGGAGTGCACTCAAATTCTAAAAGACATCCTTCATTCTGTCATTCTTCCAATTGGAAGCTTAACTGTTGGCTTATGTGTCCACCGAGCATTGCTCTTTAAAGTATTCTTTTTGCTCTATCTATATAATTTAGCACATTATATTTTTATAAATTACAATGAAACCATTCAATGAACATTAACTCAACATAATGCTTGAGTTGAAATATTTTTGACATGCTTTCATAGCCTCTATGTCCAAGGGTCATAAGTTCAATCCTTGCCACCATTCCTTCAATTAAGATTAAGTTTCAGTATAAGTTTTCATGTGCTTATATTTTATTTACACTGAAAATAAGAAAATTATTCTGATTAGTTAGATTTTTGTACAGTGTCATTATTAATGGAATATTCATCAGTTTCCTAACCAAAAATATATCTTCTATTTTGTGTATCATGTTTCCCTTATAATTTGGTGTCTCAGTGCCTGCTATTAACGTTTGACATTGCAGGCATTAGCTGACTCAGTGAACCTCCGATGCCGAATTGTCAAGGGCTGCAAGTATTGTAAAAAGGATGTAGGTGCTTCATGTTTAGTGCAAATTGGCTCTGACAGGTGTGTTGCACTGATTAATTAATTAAATTAATGGTAAACTTCAAATGATTATTTTGAACTAAATGCAATGCTATTTGGAGTAAGGAGTAATTGAAATGGGTAAAAATTGTTGTATAGATTAGAATCTGTCTATTAAAATGTGGAACAAATGACTAGATAAATAGATTAAAAAAAAAATCGTAAACTTTGGAATAAAGTGACAAGTAGCTAAGGTCTTTCAAATGATACAAAAAATTCCCTCGTGGTTTTAACATGCACGCATGTGGTATATAAGGTGTCAAAATTTGACTATTATATGCATCTCTTGTAATTTTGGAACAATTATATAAATACAATTATTAAGCATAAGAAAATTGTAGTTTTATAACTATGAAAATTCAGGCAAAACAATAGTATGAAAATGATAGTGTACATAGAGGTTATTAAATTTACATTGTAATAAACAACGACGACGACGACAACGACAACGACAACGACGACAAGCCTTATTCCATTAAGTGTGGTTAACAACAACGACGACGACGACGACAAGCCTTATTCCATTAAGTGTGGTTGACTACATAGATTGTATGATGCAATTGTGTTCTATCATTTATCAAACTTTTAGGAATGTTGATAACTGAGAGGTCTCAGTTAACAATTTTGAAACTTCCATAAGTGGTTTTTTTGGCATTTATCTACCTCTCTTGACAGGGCTCAAAATTATTCATTTCACTCCCTTCACCGGTGCCTTCCACAGTCTTCTTTGTACATGTCCCCACAATCTTAAACAATTTTCTATTAGTTTTCCCCCAATAAATGCTACGCCTAATTTTTCTTGTATATGCTCATTTCGGATTTTATTTTTACGTATATGCCTGTAAATCCATCTCAACATTTTCATTTTTGCTACTCCAACTTTATCCTCTTGCTATCCCGTTAAAGCCCAACATTCACTATTATATAATATGGTTGGTCTTATCGCAGTTTGATATAACTTCCCTTTAAGTTTATTAAATACCTTTCAATCACAAATAACTCTTTTAGCCTTTCTCTAATTAAACCAATCAGTCTGTATCCTATGTGCAATATTCTCATCATGTTGAATAATAGCTCCCAAATATCTAAACTTTTCCCACTTGATGTATAATGTGATCTCCTAATTTCACTTCCAAATTATTATTGACTGACCTCTTATCAAGATTACGTTGCAAATATTCTGTCTTATTCCTACTTAAGCGGAAACCTTTTCACTTCAATGTCTTTCTTCGTAACTCAAGTTTCTGTTAATATCTTCTCTTGTCTTTGCAATAAGAGTCATATTATCTACTAAAAGTATGTATTTGAGAATTTTCTCTTGAATATGCTCGATCAAAACATCTTGGACCAGGTCAAACAAATAAAGATTCAAAGATAATTCTTGATGTATTTCAATCCCTATAAGGAAGTCCTTTGTTTAACTGTCAGACGTTCTTATACTAGGTATTGCCCCCTCTTGCGTATCTTGTGTAGTTATAATTTAGGCAACCTGGACTCTTATAAGATGGCTATACGTTAATCATGTAAAAGTATTTTTAATTTTTAATTTCTTGTTTGGTAAAACTTAAACAAACTAACTGCATATTGGCGCTGAAATATTACTAACTTGTGTGACCTAATATTCATATAACTCGATGTGGCTCACTTTTAAAGAAATAAACTTTCCGTTATCTATAAGCATATATTAAAAGCTCTGTATGAGTAATTTCATTTGTAAATTTGAATATAATACACTCACAAATATACATGCCTTCCCCCTATTTGGATTCACTTCGGTTATATAAATGCTGTTTTTCTTAAGAAATCAGAAGAAAACAATAATGTATACACTTTTGCAGGGAGTATTTGATTGATTTGGTTGGAAGGCCAGGGGCTATGAGCCAGCCTGATTCTACACTGAATTCTGCATCTTCATTATTAATTGCTTCTCCACTATGTCATCCAAAGTTCAAGCAAGTTGAAACTGCTGAATATTCGAAGACATTAGCCCAATTGTATTTCTTGGACTGTCAAGGCCTGCAACTTGTATTTGACTCCAAGTCAGGTCATTTTCTTTGATTCTCTCTTCTCTGTACGAATACTATTCATATGTCTTATATTAGGGGGGCGGATGAAGTGGCATGTTGGAACTAGGTAACTACACGGAAGGCCATTCCAGCTTGTCTTCTATTTAGACTTTCTGATCTGGGTAGAAATGTGGAGGAGGTTTGAGGGAAGTTTATAAATTTGATGGCTTTAGATAAATTATTAGGACATCCTAGTTTGTTCAGTTATGTGGACCTTGTGGCTTGGGTAAATAGTTCTGATTAACATGCTGTATTTCTTTCAAAATAAGCTTGCTTTTTAGTGTCTTGGTTGAGAGTCTTATATGCAGGGCTCATAGAAAGCCTAGGAAATTAAAAAAAAAAACATTAATACAACAAATGGTATCAACCAAAATCATAGGGAAGAGATGAATTGAGGAGGGTTGATGTTCCAAAAGGGGAATTAGCCATCGGGTATCAATGCTGATCACCCAACAGCTCATCGAGAAAAGAATGGGTTCTTGTCATAAAAATAGGGACTGGAATTAGGCTTGGATTCCCTGGTCAGATTTGAGACGTTATAGAATATTTCAACTGGGCGGTGCATTAAGATTCATGCTTGTTAATATGTGGTATAGCATTTGCTTGAATGCGATGGCTTTTCTGTCTTAACTTCTTCTGCAGCTTCACAGTATTAACATTTGCAGTGGAATATTCATGTAGTGTTCTTATTTTAATTTGCTATATGGTTGTAAATTTGTTTTATTTTCTCGTGGCAATAAAGACAATAATGAAATGATTTCCGGTTTTTTTTTTATTAAAAAAAAACTGTTATTAAGTGATATATCTATTGACTAGTGTGGTTTGTCTCCTATAATACTGTCACCTAAGAAATCTTAGCATTTATTATATATTGTTAATGGTGGATGGTGAAATAATACTGCAAGTACTGATTTCCACCATGACAGGTGGTGCAATTGATCATAACGATGGAATTGGTCAAAAGCCTACTGAAGCTTTTAATGCAAATTATGCAGGTGGGAAAATTCATCTGACTGATTTGATAAGAATGAATCACCTCTATGTTAAAGAGAAGATCGCCCAGTCATTACAAATTATTAATGATTAATGGAGGAAATCATGTCATAATTAATAAACTCAATAATCAATATACTCTGCCTGGAGGCTCTATTGCTGTCATACTCCGTTGGTATTGAATAGCATCCATTTGATATGCCTTTTTGCTAATATCTTTTTACAGAAGAGTATGCGTTACTCAAAAATGCAAACCAGTCAGTATTGGATAGTCCAAGTCACAGGATTGACCTTGATGACGATGATCTGGAAATTTTATGGAGCGAACTTATTTTGAAAGAGAAAATTGGAACAGGTATATTATTTGACAGCTCATGATTTTCATACCGAAAATATTCCAGATGCTCCACACACTTTGATGTATCTCTGAAATGTATCATGAAAGAATGGAAATAAGTTTGAATGGCAACTGCATTTCAGGGTCATTTGGAACTGTCCTTCGTGCAGATTGGCGTGGTTCTGTAAGGATTTATTTTCCTAAACTACTTTTTTTTTTGGGGTCAAATTTTCCTAAACTTCTTGTTAAAAGTTAAGAAGCATCCTTTCGCATCATAAGCATGTCCATATTTTCATCGTGGTTTGAGGTGGACCATAAATGATGGTTCCTGATGATGATGTGCTCTTGTGCTAGAGAACCAAGCAATTGCCCTGGATTTTTTCTTTTAAATAACAACCATGAAAAATATTACAGCAGTTTTAGCCTAAATCAGAATCAAGCTTCTTATTACTGCAAGTATCAAAGTCTATAACACAAGACAACTCTAAAGAAGGATCATGGATAGCTTGGTACTCAGGAACCACGGTGAGAGAGTTCTTTGTCAGCAATTAGCAGCTTCCCCGGCCCTGTGAAGAATTGATTTAACTATAACTTCCCACTTCCTAGGCATAACATCCTCCATTTGCTGCAGAACTTCCCTATCTGAATGCATAATGACATCTTGCGATTCAGAAGTTCCACTGCATCAGCTGAGTCCGTTTCTAAGAGAACCCTTCAAAAACTGTGATCCCATTCCAATTTCAGCCAAGCATACAACCTTATAATTCAGCCAAAATAGGGTGTTTCCTCCACCGCAAGTTATACAAAAACAACTTCCATATCCAGAGATACCTCCACATCTGGCTTGATCATTCAGCTCAGAAATGGCACCGTCAACGTGAACTTTGAACCATCTCTGTTCAGGCAACCTCCAGCTGTTGGGGGTTCTATCCAAGCCAGCAAAACCACCTAGCAAAGAGAATGATTTCCATCATGGTTGCTGCTAAGAATACTTCTCACTTGTGCAAGAACAATATCATTCTGCACTCCTCCTAAAACATTCCGTCATTTCTTCTTCACTAGATTAGCCAACAAATAATAGCAAATCATGAATCCAAATTCCCTTCCTCCCCCATTTTGGCTTCTGGATGGGCAAGCAATGAAGGTAGGGGGATTCTCCTTGTGCAAACCTGCTCTGCTGGTCAGTGGTGACGTGGAGCATATTGGTCCGATTGACTGATCGTTGCTGAATTGCAACCCTGTTAAGTTGACGTGGAATTACAGCACCATAATTGAAGAGATATTTTGACGAAGGTTTCTGATGTAAAATAGGAAAGAGAGGGGGAATAGAGAGAAAAGAAGGAGGGAAGGAGAAAGAAGGAGGAAAGGCCAAAACTCTTGAAAACTCTTATTCAATAATACTCAAAAGTTGAATACAAATGAAAAATCTAGCTCTATTTATAGAGTTCTAAAAATAATAAAATAATAATAATTTAAATTCAAATCCCAAATCTTAAATCTAAATATAATCTTAAAAATATTGATATTTAAGATAACGATAAAATAAATAATCAAAGCTAATCTAATGGATCAATATCCTTATTTAAATATCCCTATTAAATAACTTTAATATCCTAAATTATACATAATTATATTTTATTCCATATTATACCACTTCTCCCCCGCTTGAAAAACTCGGCTCTTGATGAGTTAAAATTAAGGCACAAATCAGGGAAAGGAAGGGTGGGATAAATTTTAGTAGAGTGTTCGAATTTGTAAATCCTTTCCAACAAGTGAGATATTGAAAAAGCAAAGCTCTAACAAGAGCAAGCAACTTGATATAGGCGAGTATCTCTGGAAATCCCTTCCAACAAGTTAGGCAGCAAAAGAACAAACTCTAGCAAGAGTGAGTAGTTTGACCATACGAAATCTTTGAAAAACCTTTCCAACAAACAAGGTATTGTTGGATTTGACCATTAAGCAATGGAGTGACCTTAGGAGATGCAGCTTGCAAACAAGAAATAGTTATAGTCTGATGAGATTGATCCTTGTTAGAAGCAATTTGAGAAGGAGCCACTTGTATTGGTGTATAATGGACAACTTGATCATTGTTTAGAGAATTTTTTATTGGCATTGTTGGTTCACTTGATGCTTGTTCTTCCATTTGTTTTGTCAATTGATTGATCATCCTGTTAATCTCATATATTGCCTTCTTAACTTCATCACAATCCCTCCTAAGTTTGTCAAAATAACAATTCTATTTTTGCTGAAAGCGATCTAGTTGAACTATAATTTGGTCTATGTCCTCCTGAAAGTCAATACATTTATAATGGCAACGGGTACCATCCTGGTATTGATAAACATAATCATGTTGATGGCTATTAAGATGCTCATATTATCGTTGCTCAATGTACTCATGCCAGTATTGGTCTTCATACTCATATAGCTTATGATTAGCATACTTTGACTAGAGATAGTGATGCTCATAATTGTTACAATAAGTATGCTCATATTGTTGACGGCTTGTGTACTCATATTGTTGCTCTTCATAACCATACCAATGGCTCTCTTGCAAATAAGTTTCTTGCGACAGATAGACATACTGTTGTTGGTATTCATTACATGTGTACCATTGAGCATAATCCTTTTGCTGTTGAGCATATTGTGGTAGATCGGCATACTCATACCAATAATATAAATGTGTGTATATGTTGTAGCTCATATTGGTAACTAAGCATCATAACAAATTTTTTTCCTTTTCTCTCCTTTTTCTCTTCTTTCTATGGAATACAAAAACTCAAATTGATTAAAAATAAAAAATTACTCAAAATGTTGCAAACGTATGAAGAAATTGCAAACCTCCAAGATCCAATGGTGAGTAAACTTGTGGTAGGTGATGAAGGCACTCAAATCAGTAGCATTGACTAGTGAGTTTGTTATACCTTGTTTGGACCTTCGAATTTTAATGAAAAAGTTGTACTTTCTAAGTGAAATTGGTAACAAAAGTGTGATGTTGATACCAAATTGATGTAAAACAAAAAAGAGGAGAGGGGGAACAGAGAGAAAAGGAGGAGGGAAGGAGAAAGAAGAAGGGAAGGCTGAAACTCTCGGAAACTTTTATTCAATAATACTCAAAAGCTGCATACAAATGAAAAACCTAGCTCTATTTATAGAGGTCTAAAAATAATAAAATAATAATAATTTAAATTCCAATCCCAGATCCTAAATCTAAATATAACCTTAAAGATATTGGTATCTAAGATAATAATAAAATAAATAATTAAATCTAATCTAATGGATCGATATCCTTATTTAAATATCCCAATTGGATAACCCTAATATTCTAAATTAAACTTAATTATATTTTATCCCATATTACACCAGTTTCATGATTGGGTTTTCTTCTCATATTGTTATTTTTAAGTAACACAAACTGATTTGGGCCTATGATCAACAGCTTAAAATTTTATGTCTACTGATAGAGAGTTAAAGTCATACATTTATGTAGCTGGGATCTTGCTTTGTGGTTTGAGCTTATCAATTAAGTAGTCTATGACAAGACTTTTTTCAAGTAGGAAACTATACAGAGAAAGTTTTGTTTAAAAAAAAAAAAACCATTGACTAAAGTAGTCCAAAAGTAGAACTACTCACCGATATAATTATTTTTTTTTCCAAGGTTGTCATTATCTATGTGTTGGTTGTGTTGCCGTGCTTTTCCATTTTATTTCATTCTCCATTCTTTCTATTTTTGGAAGGGATGATGGTATCTAATCTTGTTACTTAATCCAGAACATGTAATTTTTAGGATGTTGCTGTGAAAATTCTCAAGGTTCAAGGTTTTGATGCTGAACGATATGAAGAATTTAGAAAGGAGGTATGCTTTGTTGTAGATTTTGTATATATGTATGTGTTTCAACTTGATTTCCCTTCAGTATCTCAGTTTGTTTCTTAGGTCTCACTCATGAAACGTCTGCGGCATCCAAACATAGTTCTCTTCATGGGTGCAGTTTTTGAACAACCAAACTTCTCAATAGTGACAGAATATTTATCAAGGTGCAATGATTTTCTGGAATGATCATCTTTGAAGTGTCCTCACTTCTGTGCTTACTTGAAATTAAAACTAGAGTGTCACCAAGTAAACAGTCTGTTTTGAATTGCAGAGGAAGCTTATTTGAACTTCTGCGCAAGCCAGATGCTAGATTAGTTCTTAGTTGGAAGCGTCGGTTAAGTATGGCTTATGATGTGGTATACATTCATTGGGAAAAAGCTGCTAGTCTTGCTGTTACCATACTTTTTCTTCCAATCAAACGCAGAATAATACTTGAGCTGTTGTCTATGTTGCCTAGGCAAGTGGAATGAATTATCTTCATCAAATGAGACCTCCCATTGTTCATAGAGATCTTAAGTCTCCAAATCTTTTGGTGGACGATACCTATACAGTTAAGGTAACTTCAGACAACCTTTGCTTTGCCTGCTACATTGCCTTTTCTCTTGGTTAGTTTTGGCTTTGACTTGGATTCAAACTCAGATCCTTTGGGCTTAGGGATGACTCCTATACCACTGATCTAAAGCTAAATGGTGCCTCATGCATAGCCTTTTTTGCCTTCCACTTGGATTCAAACTCAGATCCTACAGAGATGGAGATGACTTCAGTGTTAGGAATCTATACCCTATTGGAGCTTGCTGAATTATTTTATTTAACACTCAAGTGCTTTGAAACTAAACTAAGAACATTCTTTTTGGCCAAACTAAACTAAGAACGTTTATTTGATATTGTTTTGTGGTGTTTCCCCCTCATTTTTAAAAGAGCCTGCTCTAAGTCATGTCACGGACGTTCATTTTAGAGTTGTATGGATGGTTGGTCACTGAACAAGAATGAAGAATCTAAAAGATCTTCAGGCTTTTTGTAAATTTTGGATTGAAAGAACAAGACCTTGTACAAATACCGTCAATGGGAACATTTGATGTAACTCCACACTTTTCTTCAGTTTGGATTTTTGGGCATTTGAGAAAATCCTTAAAGCTTACTTTTAACACTTTGAAACCTTTTTGGTCAGTCGTTTGAGAAAATATTGAAATATGAATATGGGGACGAGGGTATTTTAGCTCTAAGGCATTGGAAGGCTTGTGATTAGGGGTGGCAAATGGGTGGATGGGGCACCGAATTGTAATGGGCAGGTCAGACTTGTCCCATTGACCTTCATAGAATCTAGTAAGAAACCTATAAGATAATTCAAATTCACACATATTCCACAATAAGTATTTGTCCATCTATTGACCAGTATATTTGGATGGTTGTCTTCTTGAAACTTTTTATGGACAGGTATCTTCCATCCATGGCATTCTTTGTGGGTGGGTGGGTATCGCATGACAAAAATATGAATTATCTCATTTTTGACATCATTTTGAAAATTTGGTTTATCAAACTTTTATGGAAGAAGACTTCCCTGGAGGATCTTATTCCCATAAAATATCCATTCAATGCCTGCACCAGAATAAATGTGAGTTGAGAAAGTTGTTAAAGCCAGGTTCTTTAAGGACATTGTTTTGTTAAAGTCATTTGAGGGTGCAAATGACACACTTCTAAGGGGATAGGATGGGGAAACAGTGTAGACTTCACCCTGTTCTACTCTCTCTGTTCTCATTCCACCTGTAAGGATTCATTCTAAAATTCAAAGATGGATCCATTACTATGATATTGAAGGCCGAAAGGGTCACTGACTGCTAATCAATTCACCATTTGCTAACATTGTCGTTACCAAATGTTAACAATCCCTAGATTGTCATATAGGATGCCTAGATGGAGATACTTTGTCCCTTGTTTTCCTTGTATATATTAAGGAGGTCCCATGTGTTTCAGTGTTTGAAAAATAAACTATAATGTTTTATAACTTATGAATAGTGTGGCTTATTAGAAATCTTATATATAATGCATAGATGTCTCGGAACGAGCCCTCAAAATGAGTAGTCTTGTAGTCATAGTTCATATTTTAAGAGGCATGCCAGTATTTTAAACTGTTTGGTCTACCGTACCCATTCTTGTAACTCTTGCCTTCCTTCAATACCATTATGATTGACAAATGTTTTTAGCTTTATCATTTCTTTGTGTTAAATTTATGGTTAAAAAAATATTATAGTGGGAATATTGGCAACAATTTGTTTTAACATTATGTATTAGGTATGTGATTTTGGTCTCTCACGTACGAAGGCAAACACATTTCTTTCATCTAAAACGGCCGCAGGGACGGTAAGTTCTATTTCATTCTTTTGGACATTTTATTATTTAAGTACTCATTTGGCCATATCACAATCTAAATACGGCCCTGTTATGAATATGAACAGCCTGAGTGGATGGCACCAGAAGTCATTCGTGGTGAACCGTCAAATGAAAAATGTGACATATTCAGCTTTGGTGTAATCCTGTGGGAGCTAGTGACCCTACAACAACCTTGGAGAAATTTAAATCCATCTCAGGTTGTTCTCTTGTCATTGAACTTTAGAATGTAGCTAAGCTGTAAATGCTATGGACAGAAGAAAATAAAGTATCCTATTTATGAACATGGTGGTTGCTTTGCTGTTCTTCTATCTATATATGCATGTAAATAAGACTTGGTCTCATTTTCTTCAAAAAGTTTTGACAAAATATTGTAGTTTCGAAATGCACTTGTTTGGCTTGCTATTCTCTTGAGAAGCAGTATTCCGTTACTGTAGGTTGTTGCAGCTGTGGGTTTCATGGGCAAAAGACTAGAGATTCCGAGCTATGTGGACCCCAAAGTGGCTGCCTTGATTCAACTCTGCTGGTCTATGTAAGTGGAATAAAAAATTGGGGCGACAGATTCTTGTATTGTTTGTAAAAAGATCTTTTGAGGAATACTCTCTCTTTTCTTATTTATAAGTCACTTTCAACATGTTTTACCAAAATTAAGCAAAACATCAAAACTCATTAACTCTGTTTAAAAATTTAATAAGTCATCATCTTTGTCCTTATTAAATATATATATATTAATAATATATTTTCTCTCACCAACATTTAACTTAGGATGAAAAGAAAAATTTGTGATAAAAAATTGATGACATGACTTAATAGAGCCCAAAAAATAAATAAATAAATAAATGATAATTCTCTTTGTTTTATAAATAAGATTGGAGGGAGTGATTTAATTTCAAAAGACGGTAGATAGATTGAGTAAATAATGGGAAGAAACATGAAAGTATGTCAAAATAGTGAATCTCATTGAAATTGACCGGCTTGACTGGCGTGATTATTGGTTTATCTAATCATTTAGAGACTGGTGTGCCTAAGAATTTTGCCTTTTTTCCTTTTTTGTAATTCCATATTTAATTGACTTCTTCATCTCTACCTCCTTTGCCATTCTGATTACAATCTGGTTATGTTGTAGTGAACCCTCGAGCCGCTGCTCTTTCTCCTATATTATGAACTGTCTGCAGCAAATGATTGCCGATGCTCAAGAGTGAACAAGTTCATGCAGATAGTGTCAGATTTTATATAGAAGTTTCAAGTAGAACGTCACTTCAAAAGAAATTTGTGTGTGGATCGTTTATGTCATATTGATATGCTTCTGCCTCCTGTTTACCTTGGTTATTCAGGTGGGTCTAAATCTGAGTATATTAAAGTGGATCTTTATTTATTGCCAGTTTTGTTCAGTGTAATAATCTCATTTAGTTTCAAGAGCAAAATTATTTGAGGACAATGTATATTTAATGTAAGCCAACTACTTAATTCTTTGACACATTGGTATTGGCTTTTTCTGCTTTACACACTCATAGTCAATCTCTCTTCTCAGGTGCTCTCTTGTTCATATTCATCTCTCTCTAATGTTTTGACAAACTAATCAGTTGCTATCTTGTTTGTTTACGTATAAACCATGGAATTGGAAGAGTTGAAAGAATGAACCATATTGTGAACCATGCAACTCTTTGTACCTTAAGCTGATCACCTAAGTGGATGAGCACCAAACCTGAACCATTCAAATTAAAACTAGATTGTCTTGATTTAATAAAGGTTTATTTTCATATGTTTAGTAATTTAAAAAATTTTAATTTGTGCATAATCTAAAATAAAAATAATTTTTTAACTGTCGTCCTATCAAAAAATGAGTTTTTAAAACCTGTTCATTGAAAATTTTAAATCTAAGACGCCGAAATTGAATTTGCATGGTTCATTTTTCATTTGATAAGCATCATGGTGTCTATCAGTATTCACTATGATAAGCACCGAACCCAAGTACTTTTCTAAGTTACAGCAATATTTATGATTTCACAAGTCTTTGAGGCCCATCACATTATATCCAATGAGCCTCTTGGTCATCATTTGCGAATCAGTTAGTATTTAGCTTGTAAAGAAAATAAATTCGTATTGGAAACTGAGCCGTTGGTTTGAACAGTTAATTTACAAGATGTATGATGCCTTTTGTTGCTTTGAGAGATCATTCTAATTGGTATAAATCTTTCAGCTGCCTGAAAGACCTATATTTCATGTTATAAAGCTAAAATCTTTCAATCGTTCTTCATGATATATTCTTTATTACATGACATAATTTCTGACATGCTGACTTGAAAAAAAAAAAAACAAAGAACGAAATAAAATTACATCGCATGACCTAAAAGTTTAAAATATTTACTTTAAAAGATTTGTTCTTTTAAAATTATTTTTAAGACTCAAAAAATCAAAAACTTGAAGAAAAATAAATAATAAATCACACATATCGAGCATGTCTTGTATGCTATAAATCACACAATTTCGTTGTCAGATATTCATGATTTGTTTTGTCCATATCAGGTAGTAACGCCATACAAGATCATAGAACACAGATCAGAGTAGGGCGGAACTTTTAGGGGAAGAAAAATAAGTAAAAAGTTGGTCCTGGTTCTCACGTTTGAAGATGACATTCTAGCAATGGCTATGAACATTCAGCTCCCATAAATTTTGCTATGAACAAGTTAGGAAGTGTTATGGTGACTAAATTCAGAAGGCAAGGAAATGGTTTTCAGCTATTCAAATTCAATGATGAAGATTATGATTCATTACTTTGTGAAATTCCTGATTGGCAATATTCTATGTAGTTTCAAGATGCTTTTTTTATATGAACACCAATGGTTCCAACTGCTAAAGATGGGCACCTTGAAGCATTTAATATTCGATCTTCACATATTCAAACATGACATTTGATTTCTTTGTCAATTCTTGCATCATCCGCAAAAGCCCCTTGTCTTTTTTGGAAGCCTTCTGCTACAAGTCTTGATTTGTCCCTTCAATCAAACCATCTCATCTGTATTAGGCTTAATACTGAATACCGATTTGCAGTTAACGGATAATTTTTCTGATGGTAAGGGAAATAGGGATCATGCTCCAACTCTTTGTAGACTAAAAAATTCTTCCTCCACAGTAGTTTTCCCGCGCTTGTTGGAGCGGGGCTACTGAAACAGATTCTGGTTCTTTGATGGTTTGTCTAACTGTAAATGTGAAATGGGCTTGTAGATTCAAGTCTTGGCTTAAGACGTATTTGAGGATGCCTAGACTAGAGATACATTAGACTTGGGTGCTTTTTTTTTTATTTATTTATTTTTCGGGGCCAAAAGACTCAGGTGCTTCACCTGTGGCAAATATAACTTGAAGAAACACAAATATTCTTCTTAATCATAAAATTTCACCAAGCATAGCTCCTGATCCTGCTATATATTCTCTCAGCTTGTGAACATTTATGGCTGCCAAGATTTTGTCTCCATAGAAGAAAACATTTCCTTCATTGAGCTCGGTAAATATACTCCTCTTTGTCAATCATCCTAGTGCTTTCCATTGAAAGCTCTGATTCCATCAAGTATTAGAAAGAGAAAGAATAGAGGGGGGGAAACACAGAGAAGAGGATATGAAATACAATGAAAATATTTTCTCATCTTAATTGAATGCTTAGTAAAAGTATACATAGACACCTGGCTAATGTAGTCTTAACTTTATAATAGAACAACTGCGCAAATCATAGCCGTAGTTAATAGAGGCCTAAACTAAATATCCAATAATGCCATTTAAAATAAACACAAACATGGCATGGTAACCTTGAACTGCATCAAGGAATCAATTGTTAGGAACTCAGCTGCTACTCTGGATTTTTAAAATTTTTCCACTCTATCAGTGTCCATGATGATTTCGGATTTCCAAACACATTGTATACCAGTCAGATTTGTCTCCTCTTAATAAAAATTGCCTTTTTATCCCCCCCCCCCCAAAAAAATGTACTGAGTTAAACTCTCATAGAAGTAACCTGGTAAGTGAAAAATGTTATAAACCCAGCCTCAACATGAACTAGAAGAAGCAATTCACTAAATTTAAAGTATGAATTAAAGGAGAGGTGCACAATCCATTCACATGTTGTCACCGATTCTCAATTTGAAAGCCATTCATACATGTTGACGTTAATTCTCAGAAAGAAAAACCGAATCAAGAATGCACGTAACTATACACAAGTTGATTTACAGCACATCTGAACTTGAGATTTCATGATCTAGAGAAGGGTGATAAGAATGAAAACAAGAAGCGCGGCAATGAAAGAATACTTGAGAGCAGCAAGAAGAATAGCTAATGAGATAAAACAGAGTTGCAAGAGAACTTGAACACTTGCCCATGTGAGCAGACCTGTCAAACAAAGGGCCAATACATTGTCAGGATCAGGATCAAGGAGACTCCTCAAGTCGAAATCAAAGATGGGTCGTCGATCTTTGCTCGAATTATCCTTGCCCCCGTTTGCAGCAACGTCATCTTGTTCTGGCTTGTCTCCTTCCTTCAGTTCATTCGGCCCATTATCGTTCTCTGCAAAGACGACAAGTGCAATTGGTTTTCTGGGGCTCACAGGTTGGGGATTCGGGAACGAAGAAGAAGGGAAGGGGAAAAAGTTACAGCAGCGAGGAAGGATTTGCGTTGAAGCTGGAAAAAATGGAGGAGAGATTGAGGGTTGGGAGAGAGTTGTGAACCCCAGCATGGCTTTCTCATCCAAATGACGCTGGGAGAGGGAATCGAAAGGCTTTGATTAGAAAACCCGATTAGGATCCGCGCTTCACGGTGCGATTGAAGGAAAAATGAAAAGGCAAATTTTCCGACCACAGTGGGAGTCGAACCCACGACCTTTTGATCCGAAGTCAAACGCGCTAATCCACTGCGCTATGCGGTCTGCTGTGTTTTGTAAATGTATGTTTAAGACTATACTATTTAAAGAAATAAAATTTTATGCCCCCACCACAATGAAAAAGATTGATTCTTGATGGTGAAAAATATTAAATCAACTTATTATAAAGCCTTGAAATAATCATGTTGAATAAAAATATTAAAGATATTTCTAAAATACTTGTGAAGTGATTGTTAGTAATGACAATTTCACATACAGTGAAGGTTTGGATTAGTTTAAATAAGTGATGATAATACTCTCATATGTCATAAGATACCAAGCAATGAAATAAAAAAATTGATTATTTTTCATGCGCACACAAAATTATATTTTTGTAAAAAAAAAGAGAATTATACTATATGCATTGATCATCATCATCATCTGTATAATAAATCCTCTATTTGATCTTAATTATATGGTCATTTCTAGAAGACTTCTTTAAACGATGACATAAGGTGTTATCTAATATCATATAATAGTTATTCATTTTTACCCCGCAGACTTTTAATGAATGGTCTCATAAATTGTTCTAAGAAAAAGAGTGGACGTTTTATAATATTTATATTCTTTTTATTAATTATTAATATGGGTAAAATGTAATCTTGGGCTATTTTTTTACAAATTTAACAATGTAATATACTTTCACTAAGATATGCTAGATAATTATATTTAAAACAAGAAAAAGTAATGTATAAAAAAATAATACAAAACACTCTCTTTGTTACAAAATGTAAGATATTTTTAATCAAATCTCACCTTTTAATAAATTAGTTACCTACTTTTCAACTAACCCTATATTTTCATATTTATTCCTATTAAACAACCTACAATAAATATAAAGTTATTGTTAATAGGGTACTTTTGAAAAAAACAATAATTACATTTTAAAAGATTAAAAATACCTTACATTTTTTAACATTCAACTTCTTAAAAAATACTTTATATTTTTAAATAAAGAGAGTATACAACAAGCAATATTTTGTACAAGTCAATGTATCAAAAAAAAACTTTTTGTACAAGTCATGAAAATACAATGAATGAATGAACATTCCACCGGGGACTTTACTATCAGGCCTAACTTTTGAGCCTCATTTGAAACCTTTTGTTAAAAAACAAAAAAAACTAAGAAGTATATTATATTAATATATTCCCCTCATTTAGTTTATATGATAGGAAAAGAAAAATTAACTTTGGTCATATTTATAAAATATTTAATTATTTTTTATATTCATTTTTACCTTTACACTTTTATTAATATTAAGTGATAGAGATAAAAATTTATTGAATTTAAAATAAATTATAAATAGAACAAAAAAGAATTAGCTAAGAAATTGCTTTGGTCTTGCAGGTAAATTAAATCACGCTTTTTGAAACATTATTGCTAATTTATTACATAGCAAAATAAAGGTGGTGCTTAGAATAGATTAGCAGTTCATTATTTTCTTTTCTTTTCCTTTTTTTTTTTTTGCTTGAATCTCCACAGTTCGTTTGAAAGCCTGATTTTGTCATTTTGTAACTCAGAATGGGTAGTTGGGGATTCAGATTGGGACAGGTATAGGTGAATTTTTTATGTAGTTATTTGATAATATCATATTCAAGTATCATTAAATTTAATTGAAAGTAATTATTTTAAAATATTTTTTGTATTTAGCAGATTTAAATGGAAGACCCAGTGTTCAGTGGCAGAGAGGAGGACCAACAAGGGTCGTTACCTCCCTAATTTTTTTAATTCTTTTATATTATATAAGTATTATATACTTTAAATCTTTTAAAATTTATGAAAACTTTATAGTATATATATTTTTTAACTTTAATTCTTCTTATTTTTAAATCTTAACCCTACCCTTACTAGTGCTTGTGAGGTCACATCCTCTTCCACTGAGAGTCTAGGACCAATTTTTGTTAACAGTTCATGTGGATTTAATTAATTTGGTTCCATCACGGTGGAAATACTTTCATCATGGGTTGAGAAGAAGGAAAAAAAAAAAATAATACTATTCTTTAATTTAAATTTTAGATTTGAGTTTTTCGGAATTGAATTGAGTTAGTTAGATATTAATTAATGATTGAAAAGAAAATGTGGGCGATGGGATAGGCCTGATAATTGATAAACATGTGTCCCTTTATATTAATTAATGATTGGTCCCATTTGCCTTTTTTTTTTTTTGGTCAGAATGATTCGTCCCATTTATATAGCCAATATTGGACGTCCACTTTGAACAGGCAAAAAATATGAATATACTTTGTTTATTTTAATTTTCAGGAAGACAATATTAATGTTGAGATAAATAGTAATAGTAATTTTGGAATTCCCACTTGTTTGGTTTGGTTCTTTAGGGATGCCATCAATTTGTTTATAAATGCCTTGCCGACTTTGTGGGTTCCTCAATTTGTACTCAAAAATTGCACTTGCATGCTTTTCTCCGACAACATTCATTATCTTGGATATCAATAATTTGCTCCATAAGTTTCAACACTATTATCTCCAAATTGTTCATGAATGTTTCTTTTTTTTTTCTGCATTTAGTTTTTCTTTTTGATTATTTGTAATGCTTTAACTTCATGACCTTTTCCTATATATTACGTTTTTGTTAACTTTTGACTTAACATCCGAAAAAAAAAAAAATTGCACTCGCACCTCATGTTTTTTAGCCTCCTCCGTTCTATTATTATTTTTGTTATCTTTTACATTTTTTGATCCGTAATATAAGGTATATAGAGAATTATTTAGTACTGTCTCTTTCCCAAATTATAATATATTTTTAAAAAAGATTCATCTTCTTAAAATATAATATATTTTAATAAAAATAAAATTTCATTAATGATACTTTTTTAATATTATCCTTCTCATATATTCTCTATCTTTAATATTTTTTTTATCAATAGAGTATTAAGTGAAGGACATTTTTAAATATTTATATTTTTATCTTGAAAAAGTAATGTTGTAATGTGCATATATTTAATGAGCTTCATTTGTGTGTGAAACTTTGTCTACAAATGCCTTATAATTTAAAACAAAGGGAGTATTATTTTCTAATTTTATGCCTGTTATAAATTTAATTTTGACTCATCCATATAGTGTATCTCTCTCTTCCTATTTTTAATAGAGGCAAAGTTAATTTTTTTTTAATTTTAAGAGATATTAAATGAGTTAACTGTTATTCGTTTGTTCCAGTAAAATAATAAAAAAATTACATTTAAGTCCTACTAAAGGGAAGTTTATTATTGAGAGGTTCCATAAGTTTTACAAAATACTTTCAAGTCTTAAATTGTTGTTGTCTGTTGTTAATGCTTTTAGTTAAGTATTATATTTGAAACTTTGAGGTATTTTATAAAATTCATTAGACTTTTTTATAATAAACTTTCTTTTGTGGGACCTCAATATAATTTTCTTAATAATAATTGAAGGTAAAGAGTACATGGTAGGCTTCACGCCTCAAATAATACCCATAAAAGTATGTATAGATTATGCAAGTTCTTAAAAGTTTTCATTGTATTGGTTAAAGCAGGTTTCACATCTCAAAAAAGACTTATAAAAACCTTTGGTTAAAGCTTTATATTAATGATAAACTAAAATTTGTCAATTACACTAAAAAGTTTGAATTAATTTGGAAGTACTCACCCTACACTTCTATAATTGTGATTAATTCCCTAATCAATCAATGTAGGATTATAATACATCTAACAACTCTCCCAATCTCTCTCTCATATACACACACACACACACACACATATACACACACGTATATAAGGCATAAGGGAGAATATTGAGATAGTTCAAATTACAAGAATATTTATAGATTATATATCAACAATGAGGTTTTAGGATTTTCTTTTTGTTACGTATTTCTTGTGATGCGTTGACATCATCTACTTTATACGGTTGAGCACATTTAATTTAAATCTTTATTTTATTTTAAATTAAATCAGCTAAATCAATTTCAAACAATATTGAAGAGAATAAGTTGTAATTTGGTAGGACCATAGGCATTATATACTTGGCGCATTCAATAAGGACAAATTTGACAGAGACGAGACTTACTGGCTAGTGAAAAATTTGAATATCTTTGGCAGGATTGTGTAAAAGTTTTTTGGTCTTATTCAGTCCAATTCAAAACAACACAATCCTGTTCGATCCAAATAAAAACTGATCCTTTAATATCAAAAAATAAGGTTTATTTATCTTATACTAATGTATGTCAATTAATTTAAATACAATAAATAATCCATTATCATACTCATATCAAAATTAGCATCTTTACATCACATGTTTACATTTATTGTCATCAAAGGCACGAATTAAGAAAATGACAACATGATAATCAATTTTCATAATATCACAATATTAATCACGTGATTTTCATCTCAAGGGACATAACACAAACAACTATGTGATCTTTTATCACAATATGTATAATCACACCTTTTTATATCCTCTTTATACCTCTGACATAAAACTGTGGGCTATTACACACTTGGATCGTTTATATAATGAGACTATCCAAGCCATTTATGCGTGAAAAGCTACTCAACCAAAGTGTGGGTTATAATTTCTCCCAATTCTCATACTGTGGGGTGTCATTCTCCCTAAATTAACTTCCTTATCAAACAAGTATAAACTAGAGTAGGTGTCATCGAGTAAGTGAGACAATATAAATAATAATATCTAGAAAAACTATCGAGCTTTAATGGTAGCCTTACCACGTGAATTTTAAACTTACTACTCCTCTTTCAAAGCAAACTTTCACCTCTCATGATCATTCGATGTACAATTACAGTATTACATAATATGCAAAATATTCAATGCATGCACATGCTTAATCTTATCATTGTACTTGTAATATCCTGGAGAATTTAACCCCTAATTAGTTTAATAA